TCGCGTCGACCGCCTGACTCCTGTCATTTCTTGCGGCTTTGAGGTTGGTCTCTCGCAGCGCGGCCTCTCGATTCCTTATGTAATCTTCCAACCATCGTGGTGGACGACCAAGCGACCCAGACTGTCCTTGAGGATACCAGTCGACTACCCTCGGTCGGTGTTTCGATCTACGTGCTCGGCCTACTGTAGGTTCCTTCTTATGTTTTCGACGACAACGTCCTTCGCTCGTCATGTTACGGAGCTGGTAGCGGCATGAAGTTCCCACTTTTCTTTTTCCATAGTTCTTTCGGTGACAGATGGATAGCGCCCTTCGACTTTAAGAAAAAGACACGTCTCAAAGCTATGCAACATTTCAGCCTTTCTTTTGACAGAAGGGTAGAATTGAACAGATGAGCGCGGGCTTTAGTCGTGATATTGCCAAGATGGTAGTCCTTGGTGGAAAGGAATGCACCCAAACCGCCCTGTTTCTTCACTGAACCTCTTCAGCCTGATCAAATCGCATTCGGACCTCATAACCCAGACAAGTGCATTTATCCACTCCTTCGATCCTAACGACCGTGGTTGTTCAGTCTCTAAGGTGTCGAACTCAGAATCGATTGGTCTTGACTTCAAACCACGGTGAAGATCACTCAACCTTCTTCCTTCAGAGGTTGATAAATGAGTGCATACTCTGTGGGAAGGGAAAGGGAGACTGCGTGCTACCTTTGCCACATGGCAGTAGACTCTGCCCTTAAAAATTAGGCACTCCTTGCTGGTGACATAGAAACACAAACCAACACCTTGCCATCATCTTCGTGAAAAGAAGTGCGCCGAAATGGCCTAATCACGAAAGTGAAGGAAGACCAGCATTGCAACGTTGACCGACATTCTTTACTTTCGATCCTTTCACCGTGCATGATCAACTGGGTGTTCCTGCAGGGCATCCGATGAGTGTGTCATCGACTTTGTCCGATTGATTCGCAGTCGGATCCGACTTCTGCACCGTTTCTCTCGAGCCGTTGCGGCACTGCACGCAGATGACTCGTGTTTTGTGCAACAACACCACCTCATCGACAAACCTTGGGCGACTGAGCTGTTCATCATTGATGCTGATCCCTTCCCTCCAGTTCATTTTACAGAACACCATTCTGAAGCTGGCAGCGAAGACTTTCGTAGATACGTTAGCTACCCCACTGTTTCACGCCTTTCTCTGCAAGAATCCGCGATGGGGGGGGGTATCCAACAGCATCATACAACTAAGGCTCCCTTTCTTCAGCAAAATGCTGTAATTTACCGACAGCGCAATCCGTGTAATTTACTACGTAGTGCTCAACCGTGCCGAACGCTTTCTCGCAGTCGACGGAGGTCATACACTGGGACATAGCGAGTTGGTGATTCTTCGGCACAAAAGTAACTGGTATTTCTTCTCGCACTGGAGCAGTAAATACTAAATAATAAATTACGTTATCCGCGGTGCTGTAGCTCCTTCCGAGTCCTGTTTGTTTTTTTTGCCTGCTGTGCGTCTAAACTACTTGATAGTCTGTTGACCATGATCATAGCGAACAGTTTATAGACTTGTAAAGGTATGCATATTTCACGAGAGTTTTTCAGATCTTCTTGAAGTTCTTCTTGAACAGCACTAGTTTTATTTTGCCTCATTCTTGTTTTATATTACTTTCCTTTTCCAGGTAGCAACTTAACTTCTCCGCAAGAGCCCTCTGCATTGTCAGACCGTCTCTCTCTGGAGTTCATCCTTCCTTCATTTTTATTTCCTGCACTATTGGGGGGGGGGGCAAGAAATCTGACGCAAACGTTGGGTGTAAGAGTTGCTACAAGTAGACTGCATCCATGCTCTGTGAGACGTTATGCGCCGTCCTCGTTTTTCAGCGCCGTGATAGTCGACTGATAATGCGTCAACTCTCTTCTGCTTTGTCTCAGGCCTCTTCAGCCTTCAGTGGTGTGCTCTAATTTTTGCAATCGAAAGGTTTGGAGTTCCTCCAGCCTCCATCTAATGAGCTTACCGAAAGGAACTACTCCACCGTATCGTTCCCTTTTCTCTTCATTCTTCTCCCCAAACTGTTTGCCTTTTTAGAGATCTTTTTTTCGCTTAGCTGCCGTTTAGTCCGCTTCCTCAGCTGACCTCAATTTCTCGCAAATTTGTTGTAGTCGTCGTAGCTGTCTTTCGGGCTCCAGTCTTAGGTGGAAATAAGCATAGAACCATTGTTTCTTCCAATAGTTTCGGTCGCTCTCATCTGCTATGCCTTCTTCCCGATTTTCTCCCGAAGGTGAGGGTTCAAAACATGAGTATATTTCCACTACCCGTGTTAAAAAATATTTCATGTCTCGAATGGTGTGGCGCTTATAGTTCATAGAACAGGACGAAGTTCATCTCGCTCTTCGTCGCAGTGTATGACGCGATCCATGTCCATCTTCAGTTCGTCATTTTCTTGAATTTTTCAAAGGGGGGAGGGTCTGCGTATGATTTCATGCGAAAAAAATCATCCAGGCTTCGGAAGAAGACACCTGCATGCTTAAAAACAATATTCGAGTAACGCAGGAGCTTTCCACTCTCGTGGCACGCCACGTTGTCGACTTCCATACAGGCTTCGACACAGTTCATTGCCAAATAACGCGGTTTGCCGTTCGAAACCATTAAATTTCATAGATAATGGCAGCCGTGATTGAAGGTCTGTGCGAAGGGTCCGAATGCGTCGTTTGAAAGGCAGCAAAATTGTCACATTGGTTCGATGGTGGTTAGACGTCGCTTAAAATTATGACGGTTAATATTTTGAGGAACTGCTCTGTCTCAATTTACAACGAGGAATTGAGCGTCATTCAGGGGAGCAGCTCAAGATATCCGCTTTTATTCTGAACCGACCCTCTATGAGTCCAAGTATGCATGCCTGGGGGTATGTATACATGCATGAATCGATTGGTCCTCTATGTGTCTATGTATGCATGACTTGGGGGTGTGTATGTGCTACACAGCGACTGCGCAACCGGCCTACCGAAACTCGCTGAAAACGTGTGCACAACATAGAATACAATGCTCAGAGCGGTATATATTGCCATCATGCCTGTGGCATATACATCATTCCACATGTTCTATAATGCGTAAGTGACAATGGTAGTACAGTGTCGCATAATATCTCCTACATGCAGCGCAGTATGTCGTACTATACAGAAAAAATAGTTTTATTACTAAGTATATTAATATTATGCATATCGCTTAGTATATACAGTCCTATACATACTAATGTATGTATGGCACTAAATATGCTGTCCTCATGTTTACATGACGGTAAACACGATTTTAGTATATGTAGCACGGTATGTCCGATACTATAGCAACGACAGTAGCGTGCGTAGAACTATATAGAGAATAGTACATATGTATGTTACGGTTACAGTTAAAGCATACACAAGCAGAAGCATATTCATATTATACTCTGCTGACGATTACAGAACGCGCAGCATGGTACGTCAATCGTGTAGAATGGCACGTACAACATTAGGTGC